AAAAAAAAAAAAAAATTGTTATATTTCGTTTTTGTATTTGCTACTTAACATTGAGACAAAATGACTATAATTTCATATTTATACAAAACGTTGTTATATTTTATTTTTGTATTTGCTACTTGGCTAAAATCACGGGTTTGTTCTTGTTATTGTTATTGGAATTTTGTAATTGTAAGAATTAAATTGAAGGTTGTTCATGTTAGTTGTTATTGAAATTAAGAATAAAATTGAGGTTTAAGATAATATATTGTTATTGGATTTCTGAATTGTAATAGTAATTAGATTGAAGTTTGTTCTTGTTATTTGAATTTTGTAATTGTAAGAATAAAAAAAATTGAGGTTTAAGATAATGAGAAAGATTAAACGAGATTTTAAAGATGTCCTTGTATTAATGGTGATGTCATCATTTTTTTTTTTAATTTTCAAACCCCTCTGAAATTAATATAAGCTTTAGGGAGTAAAATGAAATATTAGACGTTTCTCGAGGACAGTCGACCGCCGATACATGTACAGATGTACTTGTCCCAGCTATCGATTTTGGCTGTTGGACCTCTAACACTGTACGAGGAAAACCATTTCTACCCAAGCGCAGCTGTCGCCGCGTGTCTTCACGCGCCGCCGTTCGACGCACAAGAAGCATCTGTATTCGTCTCGCAAGTACGCAATCCGCCGCTTCTTGCACTCCGTACCTCCCCATTTGCAATTTCCGCCGTTAATTTAGCCTCAGTTCAGCAAAGAACGGAAGAAGAAAACGTTTTCCCTCGCTTTTATTCATCTTTTGTTTTTTCTCTCTGTTTTTGTGGTTCTCTTTGGGCTTGAATTTCTTGCATGTGCCCTGATCACCATGTAAATTCGTTATATTTCGTTGTCGGGACCTTAACTTTTTTAAGGTTACCATCCAATTTCAGACCGTTGTGTAGTGGCCAATTTTCTCGTGTGCATATGTATGTAGTGCTGTTAAATTAAACGAGTCTGGCTCGGTTCGAGTTCGAGGCCTTAACGAGCCGAGCTTGAGTTCATTTAAAGCTCATTTAAAGCTCGTTTCACTAACGAGGCTCGACTCGATAAGGCTCGAAAATAGAATTTTTATATAATTTTTTATAGTTGGGCTCGTTAAAAGCTCGGATCGGCTCGCTAAGGCTCGAGCTCGAGGCCTTAACGAGCCGTGCTCGAGTCTCAATTTCAGGCTCGTTTACTTAACGAGCTTGGCTCGTTAAGGGCTTGAGCTTGAGCACCCTAATTTGAAACAGGAACTCAGTATGTAAGTTCTGTCTTAAATGTTTGTTTATTTTAGTATTTTTATCATTTTTTCTTTTGCAAATGTATTTTTATCATTTTAATATGCAGGAACTGTGAAAAAAAAAGAAGGAAAAGGAAAGAGAAAGAGAAAGAGAAAGATGGTGGGTGCTTTCAATGGTCAAATTATAAGTATAATAATATTCTTTTTATTGATGCCTGAAATGATAATTATGCTGATTGACTGTTCATTATGTGTTGGACATTTCTAGTCTGAGGTAGTGGATATTTCCGACGATGAAGATTTTCCAATACAACCGAACGATTTACCAGTTACGCTGAAGTGCGAGAGTTTGGATTATGATTTTCCACCGGAAAACACAAGCGCAAGGCCTGCGAATGTACGTTCAGTTATTTTGAAGCAAATGTTAGCTTACTTGTATTATTGTGTTAAGGGTGGAACTAATTGTTGGGATTGCTGAGCTATGAGCCTATGAGTACCCTACCTCAGGAGTTTAGTATACTACATTTGGCGAATATTTGCAGTGTGATTTATGTATGTTTATCTCGTAAACTGTAAATTATCTTTACGAACTGTACTTTGTTATAGGAAAATGTGGCAAGCTCATCTGGGTCCAATTTAAGGTCATCTTTTCTGGGGATGGGATTTATGCCGGCTCTTGTCGACAAAGCAATCGAGGAACATGGTATTTTGATCTCATTCATTTGGACAGTCTTAAATGTTCCTATAATCAAATTTCACCATTGCTGTTTTGAAAAAAAAAAAAAAAAACGCTTAGAGAAGTAATTTCCCATTCATCATAGGTGAAGAGAATGCTGAGTTACTCTTGGAGACACTCTTTGCATATTCTGTAAGTGCTTCCACTCCCAACATAAGGCAGGCAATAATCATACTATCTATTTTACATGTCCGGATTGTAGACGCCTTGTTAGTGTTACTGAATTATTGCAGTGTTATCATCTTACTCCCTTAATTCTCTTATTCCTTTTTGCTATGATTTATTTAATTTGAGTTGACTGTTGAGCAGAAAAGGGCAGTCAGATTATATATCTGTTCTTTATTTTATTTTTGTTGTAGTTTTGTTTCCCATAGGACCAAATCTGACTTCTCTTCAATTCTTACCCCCTAAGCAAAAGTAAACAAACATATATCATGTTATTTAGTGCAGTTTCTTCTAATACATTGCATTTCGGATAGGTAGATCCGCTATTTTTCTCAATCTATCATGTTTTGGACTAAAGCTATATTTTCCTAGATTGGTTAAGAAATGAATTATGCTATGTCTACCAAATGAGAACTTGATTTATTTGTGCTGGAAGACTAATTGTTACTTGAACAGAATCATCAGCAACCAAAGCCAGAACCATTTCATGATGGCTTATCCAGCAGCAGCAGTGATGATTTAACTGCAAAACATCACGTAAAGGAGGTAACTAATTCAGTGATTATCCCTGTGAACAGCCTTCCAGTAGTTTTTGAGTGTGATGACATATCATCAGACCTTTCCTTGGGTGGCATATAAGGGTACATTTTAAATTCCAGAGCCAGTTCCTGCCTGTGTTATTTTTAACTCAACAAATGATTATTCATAGTCGATTCGTAAGTATCTTTCTTAGTCATATCTGTTTTCAATAAATATGATTTTCTGTATCTTCTTATTTGTCTATCCTGTTGCATTGGCGTTTTTGTATATTTTGGTTGTCAAAAGGATTTTAAGAGGGGTTTGTAATCTTGTTCTTATTTATTGTCCCACTTACGTTGCTGTAATTGAATGTTCCTCCGTGCTATTCAGTTTTTGATTTTTTTTTTCTTTAATTTTTGCAATTGTGGATCTTGCAGGAACCTGATACGGGCAGCCCTACTGATGGGAAAAAAGAATCTTTGTTAAAAATGAATTTCACTGTGGATGAAGTTGAGCTTGCTATGGATAGACTTGGTTCGTGGAAATATCTGAACTCTATAATACCCTATGCGAATGACACTTCTCATGTTTTGCAAAATGCTATGCCCATACCCTAGTTTTTCGGGAACCTTTTACAAGGAGCATATGTTGGTGCATTCCACGTGTTTATACTCGGCTGGCTGATTGTCCTACAGTGGGCTATTATACTTTTGTCTTCTAATGTAATTGGGACTTGTCATTTTGTTGATCATATCTCCTACACTAGTGAAACTCTGCCACTTTATTACTGGTTTCAAATACATGTAATTTGTTGTGTTAAGGATTTCATAATGTTTTATCACAGGTAAACATGCTGCTGTTGGTCAACTAATGGACTTTATTTTTGCTACTCGGATGGCCAAGAAGTATGAGAAAGACGCATCTAATATAATACCTGGAGGCGAGGAAAGTGAAAAGGTTCTGATGACTCTTTCAACGTGTTCAGACTAAAGCACGACTTTTGATTGTTTGGTTACATGTTCAGCAATATCACAGTTCGATTGTCTTTTCCATCTTTCAAGATCTGAATAAGAGTTCTCATATTTAGTTGTTATGGCCATTAGCCACAAATTTTGATTCTTCTTGTCAGTTTAGTCTGGTTACCTCATAGTCGAAGTTCATGTTCTGTGAACTTGATTTGTCTAATCAGAATCTTCATCATCGTTTTAAATGTGTCTAATCAGAATCTTCATCATCGTTTTATATGTGCACACATGCACATATTGTTCCTTTTGCTTAAATTCATTTGTGAATTCTCAGGATTGCAGTAATGAGGTGTTATTTGGTGTCATGGAAAAGACGCTTCAACTACTTGAAATGGGCTTTTCGGAGAATGAAATATCGACAGCGTTTGAGAAATGTGGTGAGCTTATGATATAAAAAGTAGAGGATTGTACTGTTTTACTCTCTCTCTCTCTCTCTCTCTCTCTCTCTCTCTCTCTCTCTCTCTCTCTCTCTCTCTCTCTCTCTCTCTTCTTCAAAACTCTGCCAAGTAGAGAATTTACCCGTCTGTCACACAAATTTTGTTTTGTCATACAACCCTACAAACTGTAATGACATGTAAATTTATACTCTTTAAATTGGTAATCATAATCTTTTGTTTAACACTTCCATTTCTACGTTTAAGGCTCAGAAGCACCTCTCCCCGAGATCGCGAACTCGATCGTTGACCCTACTTACCAGGTCCATCCTATTTTACAAATCTTCTTTTAGTTTCTAATTATACATCACCTATCATAATCACACCAAAATTACTATACAGTATCGGCCTCCAAAAAGAAAATCGGTAGAGCCCCTTCTCGACTTGTTAATCATCAAAACCGAGGAACACAGCGACATCACATCCTATGTCGGGAGTTCCGACTCGCTTGGAAAATCAAAGCGCAAGATTCCGAGAACGCAGCTCGTCGATGAACCAAACGATTTCCGGGACCCAAAGGAAGAATTCGCCGAGGAGACCGCCAGCTCTGCCAGCCAGACATGGCTCGAAGCACCAAAAGGCAACCTCCCCGCCTCGTCCGCTATCCAGGCGACAGCCTGGAAAACCGAGGCCGGCCTCATGGAGAATTTCGAGGAAGATTCAAAACCCTCAATGTACATATCCACACCTAACCCTTGTCGAACCCTCTCACCCGCAGCTGCTCGGCCCCCATATTTCCTCTATGGGCATGTGACCAGTCTCTCTCATTCCTCGTGGGCCAAGATCTCTCAGTTTCTGTACTCGGTCCAGCCCGAGTTTGCAAACACCGAGTTGCACTCGGCCCTTCGCCGACAGGAAGGCTACGTGCACAACCTCCCCACGGACGACCGGGCCCACATTCTCCCCAGAGGCCCGCTCACCATCCAGGAAGCTTCCCCCCAAGCCGGAAAATGGTGGCCTGCATGGGACACCCGGAAGCACCTGACCCAAATCAGCTGTCAGACAGGCTCGACGGCCCACCTCATCGACCGCCTCGCGCGGGCCCTGGATGAGTCAGACGGGCCTCTATCGCGTGACCTTGTCCAACAGCTCCATTCCAGGAACCTTGTCTGGATGGGCCGGAACCGGGTCGGCCCAGTGGATCCCGAGCTGGTGGAGCGCGTGATGGGCTACCCGCAGCACCACACCCGAGTTGCCGGGCTTGGCCCTGACGAGAGGATCCGGTCGCTCGGGCTCGCGTTCCAGACAGACACACTGGGGTACCGCCTCTCGGTGCTGAGGCGGGTCTGCCCGGGAGGGGTGACCGTGCTGTCGTTTTTTACGGGGATTGGTGGGCCTGAGGTGGCCCTGCACAGGCTCGGCATTCGGATGAAAGGGGTGGTGTCGGTGGAGGCAAGCGAGGTGAGGCGGAGGGTGGTGAGGAGGTGGTGGGAGAACAGCGGGCAGGGTGGGGAGCTCGTGCAGATTGATGACGTGAAGAAGGTGACGGGCGGGAGGCTGGATGAGTTATCGAGGAAGTTTGGGGGGTTTGATTTGGTGGTGTGCCAGAACCCGAGTTCGGAGCCCGATGGTGGGGTGTTGTCTGGCCTGGATTTCTCCATGTTTGTGGAGTTTGTGAGGGTTCTGCAGCGTGTGAGGTTGAGCAGATGAATTTTGTGCTGCTGTTTGAGTGCCAAGTTTTTGTATGTATGCCTAACCAAAACGCTTGGAAAATTTGAAGTAATATGTATCTGCTTTTTTGTTGGAGACCTAGATTTTGTTAATATATGATATGAGAAAATTACTCTCCTTATTGTTGTAATTGTACTTATTTTTAAATATACGAATAAGAAACTTTATTTTTAATAATAACAGTCATCCTCTTAATTCGGGTAACAGATAGGATATTAAATGAAAAAAAATCTCTCTCTTTTTCATTGCTTCTTTCCTCCTTACTTCTCTCTTTTATTTTTAATAGTCTCTTTCATCATTGCTTCTTTCCTCCTTAATTCTCTCTATCTCCCTCATTTCACTCGTTTATATCTTCTCTTTTTTACCTCTCATCCATTTTTTTATTCTGTTCATAATTCTCTCAACTCTTTTATTTCTCTCGGTCTCTCCCTTATTATTCTAATTATTTCTCTCTTTATGTTACATTAAGATTGCTACAATGCTTAAAGAGAATGCTTGAGGCTAATCGGGTGTAGTTCTTCAATGGCGAATAAAATTCCACCTCATGTTAATCCGAACGATGGTGATGCTGAAGCGAGGTTAAATTGTTTTTGCTTGATGGGATCGGGTGCAGTTTTTTTAGATTGGTACAATTGTTGGTTTAAAGTTTTCCTCTCAATTGTTTATATGTTGTTTATCTTATGTATATCTACATTCGATTTGGAGTTTGCGATCATTTAGAACTGTGTATTATATTTTTTTTCAGAATTGTTATTTGTCGTTTATCTTATGTATGACTATACGGTTAATATTAGAGAACTGTCAGATCATGTTTATCTAATGTATATATACAGTATATCTAAACATATATTAATATTTCGATGAATTTCTCTTTTCACAAATCATGTTTATATGTTGTTTATATGACGATGAATTTCTCTTTTCGCAATTCTTTTTTTTCCTCAACCGGATCGATGAATTTTTTATGAAGTTTTTCTATGAATTTTTGTTTATATGTTGTTTATATGACGATGAATTTCTCTTTTCGATTATGACGATGAATTTCTCTTTTGGATGAATTTTTTCGCATATCATGTTTATATGTTGTTTGAATTTTTTAATTTGTTCAACCCATAATCATAGGTATCATATTTGGTATAATTTTTTTTTAAAAAATTTCACTGTGATCCGTCCATTCCGGACAAGTTAATTATTTATTTGGAGAGAGAATCAGATTTTATGGAGAGAAGATCTCTTTATTTGGAGAGAGAATAAGATTGGATATAGAAAGAGAACTCGTAATTATGAAAATAAACTACCCACCAACTCTTTAAATGATAAAAGATTACAAAGATCGTACATATGCAAAATAATCTATACTTATATTAAAAGCTATATTATTTACTAAATGTAGTATGTATAATAGTCAACTCTAATTAATGATTTGCTATTTTTATCAAGCATTTAATTAATGCATCTAATATTTTTGGTATGTAAATCAAATTAGCATTTAATTAGTTTCTAAAATATTGGGTATGCAATATTAATTTATGAATATCTATGTAGTTCCTAAAATGTTGGTATGCAATACGTAAAAGAAGATTTTTTATTTTTTTTTAAATATAAAATATTGCAACACGTAAAACTATTCCAGTTAATTTTTATTTTATTTTACATATAAAATCTAATCAATATTTAATGCATCCTACAAAATTGGATTTAGTTTAATTATCCATACAATTGGTTGTAACTTTTTCAGTTGTACTTTATTTATTTATTTATTTTATACTTTTAAATTAATGAAGCTCTCCCGAAAATACCAAATCCAATGGTTTATGAAAGTTTTTTTTTTTTTTTTTTACAATTTTAAATCTATATAACCAGCTTAAAAAACTCATCGCATAGATATGGACGAGTTTAAGAAAATTTCATAACCCAACTTATAAAATTCCATCTCCACGAGTCAAAAAAATCACATCTCTCATCTATCGTAACAACTTTAAAGGTAAATAAATAAAAGTCTAATTACTACTATAAATCTATTATCTATGATTTTTTAAAAATTTAAATTTCACCTGTCTAATTACTAATATTTTAGATACTTTTAAATATTATTTGTATAAATTTTTTTACACATTTGCTCTCTCTATATATATACATATATGGAGGTTAAATGAAGAATTTTTAGACATATTTTTCTTACGGGTAGTTTAGAAAAAATTAGGTAGGTTCAAACATTAGTTGTGAATAATATAGAATATTTTAGATGCTTTTATAGATGTTATAAAACATTTTAAGTATTTTTTTAATATTTATATATCACACTTAAAAAGAATAATTTGCCAAAATAAAAACATTAACTACACATTGTAAATGTTAATAGAAACATTTTTCAGTGTTCATCTTTGATTTTGTCAAAACAAATCTCATAAAATCGGTTAAGTCAAAATTTGTACGTAAAGTCTATCTATACTAAAAAAAAAAGGTAGAATCAAAATTTTTTATCTAATTTCTTCTTTTCTTTATCTAATTCCTTCTTATTATCTAATTATATAGAAATCTGTCATGATTTTGTTCAATCCTCTAATTATATTTGTATTATATCTCATCAAATCGGTTTAACAAAAAAAATCTCATAACATCCGGTAAGTAAAAAAAAGTACGTAAAATCCTTACTAAATAAAAAAGGCTTTATTTATTATCTAATTTATTATCTGATTGTATGGAAATTTGTTCTGATTTTATAGTACGTACTACAAATTGTGCACCCGTGTTCAGGAGCTACTTAACGGACAAGCTCTGTGGAAATAACTCATTTAGTACTTTTGTCCCGTGCATACGGTATGTATTTGTATTACACATACTAGAAAATTGTGCACCTTGTGCGTCGCACGGACCTTGTACTAATAAATGACATTAAAATTGTGCACCCCGCGCATCACCCGTGTTCACATTTTGGCCTATTACAGGTCACGTACTATATATATCCCGTACATTTTTCTTTATTCATTTATATAAATATAAGACTTGATAAATGACCTTAATTTTGTGCAACTCGTGCATCGCATGGGATCTGTACTAGTCTTATATGATGTATACACGTGTAAATTTTACTTAATATATCAATGAGAAGTTAGAATATTATGGTTTTTATTAATGCTCGGGACTTGAAGATTACCGAACAAAATTAAATTAAATTCATCTCGAACCAGAAAATATCATTGACTGTTTGACTATTTTCGAACTAAATCATACCATGCCGAATTTTTCTTGGTATGGTTTTAGAGATTTATAACATATCCATCTCGAGAACCGAATCGAACTGGACTGAAGTGAAAATAATCGTATTGTATTGAGCATCAACAATTCATTGGGTCTAATCTTGCCTATGTGACATAAATAGACCAAAGTCTTGGATGATATGTATAAAACTATGTAAAATTAACAAAATTCATTCTAATGCAACGAGACTAGATGTCTACTTGGGTCTAAAAATAGACTTAAGGGTAGACTGAGTCTCTTGTTCTGGCTGCCACATCAGGAGGACCCAGTCTACTTTTATTGGCATTGAAAATTAATTTTTTGACTCGATGTATTTATTAGGTGGCATATAATGTGATGAACCCAAAGCATTGTGGATGCTCTAAGGAACCGAAACAAAGAACAAATTCCAAGACATTCATAAATGTACGTGTATAATATTTTATGCTATACATTTTTTTTTTGTACATAACTATTTTGCATCGTATGCTTTCATTTTGTGTCCATATTTAATAATAATACTGTTGATATCTAAACTCGTCGTCCAATCACCCCAAGACATGTGTCAGCAGTCAACTATCGAGTCAAAATGATATAATGCGAGATCCGTCTGGTGGATACCAAATAGTGGAAAGTCCAAAGATATCGTCTTTGGCACCTAAGGGATGCCGAGTTTCTTTTTGGTCGACCTGCTGTAACTTGCAAGTTAATTAATTATTGATAAGACCGTTAACCTCCAAACTGTAGGGTACACGTGTTAAGTTTGTAGACCATCGATCATATTGGAGATTTTAGCCATAATCATTTCACATTACATGCTAGTGTACTTTTCAAAAATAGAAAAGCAATTGTACTGCACACACTCACAATACTCAATTATAAATTGACCGAGAAGAAACTGTAAAAAAGAGAGGTACTTTTACCCATGAGTAAATAACAAAGAAAAAGACTGAAGTGCAATTCAGTTCGACAGACGACTACCTCAAAAATTAGTTTTTTCCTTTTCTTGCAAACTATCAATTTCGTTATTACAATTTCGTAAAACAACAATTTTGCGTTAGGAGGGCTGCATTTGGTTTTGGAGTAATCTTCCACCTTGATAACACCTTTATTAATAAAAAATGTCATCATCAAGCATGAGGATCAAAGTGATGGGTTGTGGCCGAACAACACCACGATGGGGGTCCAAGCATTGATTTCACTTTGTTGTTGCAAAACCCAGATATTTTGAAGGGATTTTCAAACATTTTGGCGCAAACTTTATTGTCTCCCTCTACTATACCTAAAACACCTACTGAAAAAGACCTTAATAATGTTTAAAGCAAAGGAAAAAAGGCGATTCAGTCACAACTGACCTCACAATCTCTTGATGATCGTTCTAGAAACCCAAAGGAAAAGTCTGTTGACCAAGTGCAAAGGGAGGGGGTTGGAGAGAGCATAAGAGTAGTCGTCGCACCAGGACCACCAAACCCTCAATGTTCCATCGCTTGGGACAGAAAAAGCAGAACTTGACCTCAGGGAAAAGATACTAAGGAGCTGGGTTACGAAACAAGACACCGTAGATATCGTGGCCTTGAAGAAAAATGTGGTTGAACTGGAAGCCAGACAGAACTTGACTCGTAAAGACTTGTCACCTTCAAGCAACCCTCCAGTCGATTCGGCCTCTCCGCTATCGTTTAATATCATGTTCGACCTTTTACCAGATAAGATAAAAGTCCCTCTAATCTGGTTGTATGATG